TGAGATAAGCATTCATCTGGGGCTGCCATATTGCACAAGCCCAGGGAGTGCTGTTCACAGGGCAGAGGACATGAACGGAAGACTCTGGAGTTGTGAGGTGAACAAACTGCATGGTCATCCTCAGAGGCCCTGCTTCTGTCTGGTTTAAGCCCCTGGTTGGATTTCAGTTACTTCCAGGTAATCTTAATTTTAATAAATTTTTGATAGTTTCTTTAATATCCAGGAGTGTTTTGTGCTTGCAGGGGAATACTCATTAGTATTGGTACTTTGTTTATTACACAATTTGTAAAAATAATATAGCTCTGAAAATCAGTTTTCCTCAAGCATTTAAACATAATTATTAATGTGACTAGCTACAGTCCCTTAAAACTTAAATGGCAATTACAGATCTAGTATGATTGATTTTTTGAACCCTTCAGATGTCTTAAATAACAGGACAAACATTCACAGATAAAATATTTCAGAACAATCAAGGTTGTAGGATCTGAATAATGTAATGATTGATTCTTTATTGAGATGCAGAAACTAAGGAGATTTAAACTGAAATCTTTGAGTGTTAGGCCAAGTCTTTTTTAACAATAATAAATATTTATTTATGGCATCAGAAACTGTTAAGTTTCTCTTTGGCATAGAGATTTTTTTAAAACTTTTTATCCATTTAATTAATTAATTAATTTATTTATTTATTTATTTATGCCACGGCACACAGCTTGTGAGATCTTAGTTCCCCTGACAGTGACAGGGCTGAGTCCTAACCACTGGACTGCCAGGGAATTCCTTTTTTTTTTTTTTTTTTTTATTTTTTTTTTTTAATATTTATTTACCTATTTATTTGGTTGCATCAGGTCTTGGCTGCAGCAGGCGGGGTCCTTAGTTGTGGCATTCGAACTCTTAGTTGTGGCATGCACATGGGATCTAGTTCCCTGACCAGGGAGAGAACCCAGGCCCCCTGCATTGGGAGCGTGGAGTCTTAACCACCGCGCCACCAGGGAAGTCCCTGTCATACAGATTTTAATTTCTGACACTTTGTATCTTTTCCAGAATTTATGCATGTTCTAAGTTTGCATGGCAATTTGGGATCCCTTGAAATTCCATATGACCTTTTAGGATGTTTTCTCCTATTTCTGCAAAAAATGACTTTGAGATTTTGAAGTGATCACACTGAATCTGCAGATCACTTTGGGTAGTGTGGACGTTTTGACAATATTAACTTTTCGAATCCATGAACATGAGATGTCTTTCCATTTGTCCATGTCTTCTTTAATTCTTTTCAGCAGCGTTTTGTAGTTGTCCATGTAGCGGTCTTTGGCTTTCCTGGTTAATTCCTAAGTATTTTATCCTTTTTGATTCTATTGTGAATGGGATTGCTTTCTTAATTTCCTTCTCGGATTGTTCATTATTGGTGTAAAGAAATGCAACTGATTTTTGTATGTTGATTGGATTTAATACTTTTTATTGCTTTTTTAAGCGTAATATTTCCCCCTTTTCCATTTTTAGGTAATTGTTGTTAATATAGAGAAAAAGCTTTTACACATTAATTTTGACTTCAGCCCTCTTGTTTACCCTGCGTCTTTTCTCTTTTTACTTTCCCTTTCAAATTCAAGTCTCTGGTTTGGAAGGTATAAAATCATCAACAATAACAGGAGAAAGTTTGTATCTTCTTTAACAATGTTTACGCAATTTCTGGAATTTCCTTGTCTTATTCCATTCCTTAGAACTCCAAGACAATGAGGAGTAAATGGTGGCATGGTCCCAATTTAACTGAAATGATTTTAATATTTTGCCATTATAATAGTATTTATTGCTTTTCTATAAAAATCATTTCGTACACTTCAGCATTTTTAATTTCTATTTTACTTAGCATTTTAATGATGGCTGAATTCTATGAAGTTCTGTTCAGAATCTATTGATATGAACACATGGGTTTTTTTAAAAATTTATTTTTAATACAGTTTTTAAAGGTTACTTCCCAGGGTTTCCCTGGTGGCGCAGTGGTTGAGAGTCTGCCTGCCGATGCAGGGGACACAGATTCATACCCCGGTCCGGAAAGATCCCACATGCCGCGGAGCGGCTGTGCCCGTGAGCCATGGCCGCTGAGCCTGTGCGTCTGGAGCCTGTGCTCCGCAACGGGAGAGGCCACAACAGTGAGAGGCCGGTGTACCGCAAAAAAAAAGAAAGTTACTTTCCATTTACAGTTATTACAAGATTATTCCCCGTGTTGTGCAATACATCCTGGAGCCTATCTTACACCTCCCACTCTCCCACCCCTATATTGCCCCTCCCCCTTCCCTCTCCCCACTGGTAACCACTAGTTTGTTTCTATAACAGTGAGTCTGCTGCTTTTTTTTTTGTGGTACGCGGGCCTCTCACAGCAGTGGCCTCTCCCGTTGCGGAGCACAGGCTCCGGATGCGCAGGCTCAGCGGCCACGGCTCACGGGCCCTGCCGCTCCGCGGCATGTGGGATCTTCCCAGACCGGGGCACAAACCCGTGTCCCCTGCATCGGCAGGCAGACTCTCAACCACTGCGCCACCAGGGAAGCCCTCTTTTTTGTTTTATTCACTAGTTTGTTGTATTTTTTAGATTCCACATATCAGTGATATCATACAGTATTTGTTTTGTCTCATTTATTTCACTTAGCATAATGTCCTCTAAGTCCATCCATGTTGCTGCAAAAGACAAAATTTTGTTCCTTTTTAGGGCTGAATAATATTCCTTTGTATATATATGCCACATCTTCTTTATCCATTCGTCTGTTGATGGACACTTATGTTGCTTCCATATCTTGGCAATTGTAAATAACGCTACTATGAACATTGGAATGCATGTATCTTTTCAAATTAGTGTTCGTTTTTTTCCAGGTATATACCCAGGAGTGGTATTGCTGGGTCACATGGTGGCTCTATTTTTAGTTTTTTGGGACACTTCCGTGCTCTTTTCCACAGTGGCTGCACCAATTTACATTCCCACCAACAGTGTAAAACGGTTCCCTTTTCTCCACACCCTCGCTAACGTTTGTTATTTGTGTTTTTTGATACTAGCCATTCTGATAGGTGTGAGGTGATGTCTCATTGTGGTTTTTATTTTCATTTCCCTGATGATTAGCGATGTTGAGCATCTTTTCATGTGCCTGTTGGCCATCTGCAATTCCTCTTCGGAAAAATGTCTATTCAGTTCTTTTGCCCATTTTTATTTTATTTTATTTTTTATAAATTTATTTTATTTTTATTTATTTCTGGCTGTATTGGGTCTTTGTTGCTGCGCAGGCTTTCTCTAGTTGCCGCCAGCAGGGGATACTGTTTGTCGCAGTGCGCGTGCTTCTCATTTTGCTGGCTTCTCTTGTTGCAGAGCACAGGCTCTAGGCACGCGGGTTCAGTAGTCGCTGCATGTGGGCTTTCTCTGGTTGTGGCGAGTGGGGGCTACTCTTCGTTGTGGTACGTGGGCTTCTCATTGCAGTGGCTTCTCGCTGCAGTGGCTTCTCTTATTGCAGAGCACAGACTCAAGGTGTGCGGGCTTCATTAGTTATGGCACGCAGGCTCAGTAGTTGTGGCTCACGGGCTCTAGAGCACAGGCTCAGTAGTTGTGGTGCATGGGCTTAGTTGCTCCACGGCATGTGGGATTTTCCCGGACCAGGGCTCAAACCCGGGTCCCCTGCATTGGCAGGCGAATTTTTAACCACTGCACCACTAGGGATGTCCCTATACTAGGAATTCTTAAGTAAAATTTTCCTTAGTGCTGTAGTATGAAAGTTCTTTATACTCATCTTTTTATGAAGGAAAAACCTGATTCTCCTTTCAGAAAGTAACCCAAGTTTTACAGACTTTCAAAGTATCTTTATTTTTTCAATTATAAAAATATTTACCCACTTAGAAAAGAAAGGAAAAAAGAAGAATGAAAGAGGAAAGAAAGGTCTCTGGACTTGGGCGAGGGTCAGGGGTGACCGTGGAGCTTGCTACTTGCTCCTAAGAGCCAGCAGTTTATGAAGCAGTGAGATGCCCCAGGACCTGTCATCTTGAGTCACTTCTTAAAGACGAAGGGGATGGGGATCCAAGTCTCAAGTCTCTGAAGGAATCCTCTAAATTATTCCAATTCGAGGGCTATTGAGAGAGAAATGAGAGAGCTTCGGTTGACAGGAAACTGAGGGAGGAAGGGGAACAGAGGCGAAGCTGAAAATGCAGGGACAAGAAAAGAACTGGATCAAGGCAGGCCAGGGATGCCTTAAGAGAAACAGAAAGCTAACAAGAGTCTATGAAGAGGGGCTTCCCCGATGGTGCAGAGATTGAGAATCCTCCTGCCAATGCAGCGGGCACGGGTTCGAGCCCTGGTCCAGGAAGATCCCACATGCCGCTGGAGCAACTAAGCCCGTGCGCCACAACTACTGAGCCTGTGCTCTAGAGCCCGCGAGCCACAACTACTGAGCCTGCGTGCCACAACTACTGAAGCCCGCACAGTGGCTTCTCGCTGCAGTGGCTTCTCTTATTGCAGAGCACAGACTCAAGGTGTGCGGGCTTCATTAGTTATGGCACGCAGGCTCAGTAGTTGTGGCTCACGGGCTCTAGAGCACAGGCTCAGTAGTTGTGGTGCATGGGCTTAGTTGCTCCACGGCATGTGGGATTTTCCCGGACCAGGGCTCAAACCCGGGTCCCCTGCATTGGCAGGCGAATTTTTAACCACTGCACCACTAGGGATGTCCCTATACTAGGAATTCTTAAGTAAAATTTTCCTTAGTGCTGTAGTATGAAAGTTCTTTATACTCATCTTTTTATGAAGGAAAAACCTGATTCTCCTTTCAGAAAGTAACCCAAGTTTTACAGACTTTCAAAGTATCTTTATTTTTTCAATTATAAAAATATTTACCCACTTAGAAAAGAAAGGAAAAAAGAAGAATGAAAGAGGAAAGAAAGGTCTCTGGACTTGGGCGAGGGTCAGGGGTGACCGTGGAGCTTGCTACTTGCTCCTAAGAGCCAGCAGTTTATGAAGCAGTGAGATGCCCCAGGACCTGTCATCTTGAGTCACTTCTTAAAGACGAAGGGGATGGGGATCCAAGTCTCAAGTCTCTGAAGGAATCCTCTAAATTATTCCAATTCGAGGGCTATTGAGAGAGAAATGAGAGAGCTTCGGTTGACAGGAAACTGAGGGAGGAAGGGGAACAGAGGCGAAGCTGAAAATGCAGGGACAAGAAAAGAACTGGATCAAGGCAGGCCAGGGATGCCTTAAGAGAAACAGAAAGCTAACAAGAGTCTATGAAGAGGGGCTTCCCCGATGGTGCAGAGATTGAGAATCCTCCTGCCAATGCAGCGGGCACGGGTTCGAGCCCTGGTCCAGGAAGATCCCACATGCCGCTGGAGCAACTAAGCCCGTGCGCCACAACTACTGAGCCTGTGCTCTAGAGCCCGCGAGCCACAACTACTGAGCCTGCGTGCCACAACTACTGAAGCCCGCACGCCTAGAGCCCGTGCTCCGCAACAAGAGAAGCCACCGCAATGAGAAGCCTGCGCACCATGTCAGAGTAGCCCCTGCTCGCCGCAACTAGAGAAAGCCCGCGTGCAGCAGCAAAGACCCAACACAGCCAAAAATAAATAAGTAAAATAAAATGTATTAAAAAAAAAAGTCTATGAAGAGAGAAGGAAGGAACTGGGAGCCCCTGGAAGAGGGGACCTAAAGGGGGTGTCATGAGAAAAGGGAAAGCAGTGGGGGGCAGTGGGGAGAGAGCAAGGAGAGGACTGACAGACAGAAGTCAGGCTGAAGCTGGGAAGGGGGTCGGCAGGGCGTGGAGAGGCCTGCAGCGGGGAGAGCTTCTCACCGACAGGATCTTCTGGAGCCGACGGCTTATGCTTTCACTGTATTGCTCCAGCTTATCCCAGGACTCGAAGGGCATCCCCTGGTTATCCACAAATTCTTCCCAGCAGTCTTCAAACTCTGAGATGAGAGAGGGAAACTGAGTCAGGCCCCAAGGGCAGGGGAGCAGCAAGCTTGCACCAGCAGGGCCCACAGCCCCCCTCCTTCCTTTCCCCTTCCTTCTCTTCCTCTCCCTGGAATTAGTCTGTCCCTGGAATTTCCCCTTCAGGTGGTATCACACCTTGGGTCTCAGCTGGGCTGCCGTCCTTCCTGTCCAGCCTCCCCTCTCCCCCACTCCCACTCAGTGGCTTTCGCTCTTGGAACTGCAGATCCTCCGGTCCACCGACAGCTCTGTCTCTCCTCCTACCTGAGCGGGTCATGACAGCCACTGAGACCTGGGCTGCCTGTAGCTGCTGCAGCCCCCTCTGAAACACCTTGACCCAATGGAAGTACAGGCGGGAGGCAAAGATTTGCAGGCTCAGGTGGTCCTGACCGTTGATGAAATCAACGAGTTCCTTGGCACAGGTAGGGCAAGGGCTCCACGTGACATAGCAGATGATTTTGTAGCTCTGGTTTGGGTCCAGATTCAGCGAGGTGATCTTGTCAATAAAGCGAATTTCTGCATGTCGCTGTTTCTGGAGAGGTTCTCAGAGAGATGGAAGGGTTGGTTAGAAGGCAGAGGCCAGAGGTCACACACCAAGGGTGAAGCTCGGGACGAGGGCCTCTGTCCTGTGAACTTTCCAGTATGTGAACTGCCTATAGCATAAGGAAAGGACCTCCTTCTTTCCTTCAGTTATTCATTCCTTCACTCACTCACTCATCCATTAATTCCACACTCCCCAAGCACCTGTAACTTCACTGGAACCAGATCAGGGTCCCAGTGCCCAGAGGAGACGGGTTGTAGGACACCCCCAGGGCACAGTCCTGAATACTCTGACCTGGCTTTTGGACATGTCCAGGAGGTTGTCTGGAGATGTTTGAACCTGAGGGTACCAGGGGGGTCAGGGAAGGAGGGAGCGGGGACGGGACAGGTAGGAAGATGGCAGAAAGGCAGAAGTGTGATGGAGGTCTTGTAGGTGAGGTTAGGTGCTCAGTCCTGGGAAGAGCACTTGGCTTCCCCGAAGTGGTGACTGAGCTGAGATCTGGAGGATGAGGAAACATTAACTTCTCAGAGGGGTTAGGAGGAAACTTCTGCTGGCAGGAAGGGCTTGTGTGGTGGCCCGCGGAGGGGAAAGAATGTGGAGAGCTCCAGGGAAGCGGGCTCACTCAGATTCTGCTAAGCCTCAGGATTTTCCCTGCCTGATGAGGTTGCCCCTGCTTGCCCCGTGCCCAGGGAATCCACTTGGCACCTTGTTTTGGAAGCAGCCTTTGTCAAGCGTGAAGCCATCAAGTTGCTTCAGCTGGTAGCACAGATAGGTCTTCCTCCGGTAGTAGGGCTGTGGGACCCGGTGCTGGTTGCCAAACTGTTGTCTGAATATATGTTTTTTTAGCAGATTCATTGTGTTTCTGTGCAACAGGAAGGAGAAAATCAAAGATGCAGAGAGTGTTTTCTGGGGTCACCCAAGGCTCTGTCCCATTCTGAGCCCAGTTCCTTGGGTTCACCTGGGCCCCTAAGGGGAGGTAAGGGAGGGTCTCTTCCTTCTTTGTTGGCCAGGAGTACTGGGAGCGAGAGGGAGAAGGGCGAGCTCTCCCCCGTCACACATCGCCACCCCTCCAGCCCACGCTAGAGGCCATTGCAGGCCATCGCCCACACTAGAGGCCATTGCAGGCAGGACGCCTGGGCTGAGTGGGGGGGGCCCCCACCCCGAGAACTGGACACGGCATGTCCTTCCTCGTCTCTCACATCTTTGTCCTGAGCCCCAGACCCCTCTGTTAAGGTCCCACAAGCACCTCAACCCTGTACCTAATGTCAGGACCCTTCTCTTTGGGGAGTGGGGAGGGGGATGGAAGTTAAAGAGCTCCCTTTAACTCTGGGCTCTTGGCCGAGGTGTGTGTATCATAATTTTGTCTGTACGAAGAGCACAGAGGCATGTGAACAGGAAAAACTTGTCACCAAGGTAGTGTTGTGACAGAGACTTTTGGCTGAAGGGCTCACATAGCTTTTTCTCCCCCTAATTATGACTGTACCCTATAGAGTATTCCATGTTGTATCTTGCTTTTTTTTCATTTAATATCATACTGCAAAGTGGCCCAGCTCATGTGCGGATGCAGAACCACCAGGTTCTTTTCATTAAGTGCTGTTGGCTCTGCATGGACAGCAGTAGGTGGATGTAACCAGGAGCCTTCCTGCCGGGCCCCAGAGAGGCGCATGAAGGCACCCTCTGGCCGGAGCCGCACCGCACGTGGACACCCATGACCAAGCAGATGCCAGTCTGAATGAGCTTGGGAGGCTTGACGGCCCCAGCCCATTGCCCTCCTGGACACTCCACCCAAGGTAATGTCACCTGGTTGACCACCGAGTCAGACTCAGATGACCTCAGAGCCTCAGAATTGGCATCTGGACACAGGAATCGAGCCAAGGGTGCCCTCACGGCCCAGACCGCGGGGCACACTACTTTGTTCCTGCAAAGCCAGAGAAGTCTCACCATATTTCCAGCCAACTCATTGAAACACCACCAGTTCCACCAACGAAAAAGCATTTCTGATACGTTATGCTAATTAACAAAGCCACAAACTTCATCAATGGAAACCTATCTCTGAAGTCCCTTGTGTTAATTAGTAAAACTTTAGATGGATTTGGGTAACGATCGCTGAAGAGACCATCTCTGGACTGTGGCCTTCGATTACCGGCCAATGACCTCGCCTGAAGTTCATACTCCCATGAGGGCTACTGGCCACCCTCAGGGTAAGGATTAGAAGGGAAACCCCATTCATAGCACACCTAAGACAACCACTGCCCCGTTTGCCCGGAACCTTCCTGATTTTAGCCCTGAAGTTCCCATGTTCTGGGAAACTCCCCAGTCCTGGGGAAAGCCAGACACTCAAGGCTGAGATATTTCACATTTGAGACAAGAGGACTTTTGTTCATAGCACAAATGTTGCACCTTGCCCTTGAATAGCTAAAACTGTAGGTATGATAGAAACAACTTGTAAGAAGCACTTAGAGTCCAATTGAATTTTTTATACTTGGTAGTGTCTTCATGGGAAACGAGTTATCTTCTTGTCTTGGAGAGTTTTCCCTCCACAGAGCAGAAATGAGAATATTCTCTGCAAAATTGTGTGTTTAACATAAAATTTACAAAAACGCTTTTATAGCTGACTCCAAACATTGTTTCACTCATCCTTGAACCTAAAGTCTAGGACTGAGGGTGCACAGAGAGCTTCAGGAAGACCCAGTGGCCATGCCTATGGGATATGGCCAGGGACACAGAGAGACAGGCTGTGGCAGAGGCAGGGCTGGGAGGCCTGAGGCAAGAGAAGGAGCAGAGAAGGAGCCAGAGAGGGAGAGAACCCAGGGCTGGGCGCAGAGCCCGAGGCAGCGAGGACCGGCAGCCCCACCTGGCCCCTGCAGCCGGGGCTCCAGCCTCCTTGGCAGACATGTCCCAGCTTGCCCTGGGCACTGGGATCTGTGGTTCCACCTGCCTCTCACAAGGCTGCCCTTGGCCTTGGGAAAGTCCCTTATCTGAGAGTGTTCCCCTACAGCTCTCCGAGCAGTAGCTGCCCTTCCTGCCTGGGTAAGCCGAGGTGGGAGGCCTAGGGTGGTTTTTGTCTCTCAGACCCATCCTCTTTCCTCCTCCTGGGCTCTGGACTTACCTGATCCCAGGAGTCCAGATGCAGTCTCCTGGCCTAGGAAGGCTTGTCCAAACCCAGCCCTTTGTCATAGGCTGCCTCGATTTCCTCTCCCAGGACCCTTTCTTTAGGACAGCCCCCTATCTGAGAGCGACCTCCCAGGCCGGCCCAGCCGAGGCTCCACCTCCTTCCTGCTTTGGCACCAGGGGTGGGAGGACCCTGGGGTGGTTTGCTTCCCTAGGCTCAGACCCACCTTCTCCTGGGCCCTCCCTCTTGGCAGAGGTCGGTCTCTGATGCAGCCGGACCCCTCTGTGCAGCAGGACCCGAGGTTATTGCAAAGGGAAAGAGAAAGTAAAGATGCCAGAGAGAGGGGGATGGGACAGACCCTGGAGGAAGAGAGCAGGACAAAGGCCTGCCCCCACTGGGGGAGGCGTGGGCTGGAGCCCTCTCCACCCTACTCCTACTTGGCAGTTAGCTTTTATTCAGTACCCTGACAAGACTCTGGGTAGGATGGAAAATGAGGGCTGGGGGTCAGTACTCCAGATCTTCATCTCCAGCCCTGTGTTGAGCAGATCCTGCGCACCATCTGCTAGCCCCAGCTCCCCAGTTGCATCAAGCGGGCAGGAGAATTATCCCGACATTTTAGATGCGGTCCCAGCACAGAGAGGTTAAGACACTCTCTTGAGGTCACACAACAAATAAATGGCAGAACTGGAAAGCTGTCCAGGAAGCCTGGCCTGGTTCCCTCCCCTTGCTTCCTCATTGTTCCATGAAAAGGAGTGGGGGAGGGAGCACAAGAGAAGGGGTAAGCTATCTGCTTACTTTGTCACGTGGCCACCAAGACCTCCAGATGAGAAAACAGCTCTGGGGAAAGTTGAAACCTAGGGAGGAGGTCTTAGAGCAGTCACGGCCACCTCCAATCCAAACTGCACACAAATTTGATTCCCAAATTAACTTTTCCCAGCTTGTCATCCCACTGCTCCCCCTGCCCCCCTGCACACACCGCCTTCTGCCCCACAGGCCCTGGTACGGCCTCGGGGGTAACAAGAGCTTGGGCAGGAGGTTAGAGGATCCACAGGAATGGTGTCCCCTTCACCCACATCTGTCCTAATGCCCAGGGCCACAGCCAACAAAAGATTCTAGAATGAGCTGGGTCCTTCTGGGAAGAGTGACCAGATTTTTTTTTTTTGCCACATCACGTGGCACGCGGAGCTTGCCCAACCGGGGATTGAACCTGTACCCCCTGCACTGGAAGCATGGAGTCTTAACCACTGGACCAACAGGGAAATCCAAAGAGTGATCAGATTTGAACACTGAAGTGTTGGTCAAACTCAGAGAGCTAAGTCACCCCTGGCCTGAGAGGCAGGAAGGATGGACAAGAAAGCTAAAACCCTTTGCTGGCCTTTCCCTAATGATAGCAATCCTACAGCCCCGGCTTGGAGGTTCCTGTGAGCCACCTGAGATAGGCCAAAATGCAGGTGTGCCAGGAGAGGGACATTTTAAGCTGGCCACTGTGGCCCGTTTTAATGCTCGAGACAATCGGGAGGTGCGTCATCCCCAACCATGTCCCTCTGTGCCTCCCTCCTTGAAGGAAACACCGACAGGGAGAGCATCAAGGCAGAAGAGCCGAAGCAACCAGAGACCCCCTGGATTCTGCCCAAGACCCCCAGGCAGCAGTGCAAACAGGAAGGGAGAGTAAAGGGACAGGTGTCTGCTGCCACTAATTCCCACCCAGACGGCCAAGATCAGTGGGACCCCAGACATTCTCCACAAGGACTTTAAGGACAGATTCCAAACCAACAGCTTCCCACTTGCTGTTCCTTCCTCTGCATCTGCCTGCCCAGAATCCCACCTCATCAGGCTCTTACTCCCTTTTGGCCCTGCCACAATCCCGGCCACGCTTTCTGGAAACTCCACTGAGTTCCTCCCCGGTGCGTTCACGTGGCAGCTGGCTCTGTGGACAAAGGGCCAGACGCTCGCTTCCTGATCTACCTTGAGCAACTGAGCTGTGGCCTCTGACTTGACTCTTGGCAGCCCTTCCACTTTCTATTCTGCTTTTTGAAAAAGCTCCAATAATCTCAATCCTCACATCCCCAATCCTACTTTTTTTTCTAAAAACTTATTTAAATGTAAACTTAACCATTCTTTTTTTTTTCCTTGCTCATTCTCCATCCCCATCCCCAGAGCTTCATCTCTGGCAGCAATTTGGGAATGGGATGAGGGATGAGCAGAGTGAGGACAGGGTGTGATGATGACAAAGTGAAGGTGGGGTGCTGGTGGGGTTCTAGGGACACCAAGGTCTGGAATGGAAGCAGAGGAGTCAGGGTCAAGGGGGCATAACCCGGAGAGAGACACACAGGGCAAGGATCCTGCTCTCACTGCACCTGCTCAGCTCAAAAAAGCCTTTGGTCATCGTATGGGCTGGACCGTGTCCCTGCAAATCCATATGCTAAAGTCCCAACCTCCAGTTTCTCAGAACGTGACTATACTTGAGAGGTGATTGTGTTAAGAGGAAGCTCTTAGGGTGACCCTTAGTCCAATCTGACTGATGTCCTTATGAGAAGAGGAAATTGGGACACACAGGGAGACAGCAGGGGCTCCCCAGGGGTCATGCACAGAAGAAAGACCATCTGAGGATAGAGCGAGAAGGCAGCTGTCTGCAGCCAAGGAGGGAGGGTGCAGGAGAAGCCCGACCTACCGACTCCTTGATCTTGGACTTCTAGCCTCCATATCGGTGAGAAAGTAAATACCTGCTGTTAAGTCACCCAGTCTGTGGCGTTTTGTTGCAGATATCCTAGCAAACGAATACCATCATTCCCATCAAGGAACCTCGTTCTCTGATAAGTCAAGTCTGTCTTCAAGGATGTTTTTCAAATCTCATGTTCACACTTATACATATTCATGCCCATTTATGTTCAGTTCAATAACAAGGTTTGGTCAATGTGTGAGATGGGAGGAGGTGGGGCTCCCTCGCTGGGGGAGAGGGAGATCTCACGGGGGTTCGGGGGAGACGCTGGGGGAAGAAAGGAGAGAGGAGCTGAGGGAGGGCAGGGGCAGCCCAAGGGCAGTGGCCCTCTGGGGCCAGGGAGGAGAGAGGCTGAGAAGGGAGGTGGAAGGTACTCGGAGATAAGGAGGAGGTGGGGGGAGGGAGGCTAAGGAAGCCCTCACCCGAGAATTTCATGAAGCTTTGCCACCAGGAACTGATAATTTTTACGCAGTTTCTTCCAAGGCTTGAAGGGCATTCCCTGATTGTACACAAAGTTTTTCCAACAGTATTTAAAGTCTGAGATAAAGAGGAGAGAAAGCCATCAGGTCCGGGCCCTGGGAGGTCTTTCTCTGCTGACCATCCTGTGCCCTGCTCGCTCCTGCCCCCTCCCTGCCGTGTGCCCTCAGTCCTGCCTCGTTTCCCAGGTTCTCCGCCCGCTCACCCTCGCTGGTGGGTATTCTAGGTCCGCCCCCATCCATCCCACCGCCCCGCGCTCCAGCCCCCAGCCCCCTCTGCTCTCACCTCGGAAGGACATGATGCGCACCCAGGCCCTCTGCTGGTGCAGCGCGCGCAGCCCCTGCTGGCAATCTGGTTTCCAAAAGTAGTAGAGACGGGCGGCGAAGATGCTCAGCCTCACGTTCCTGTTCTCCTTCAGGAACGCAGCCACCTGCTCTGCACATGGCAAACAGGGGCTCCAGGACAAGAACCAGGTGATGCGGTACTGCTCGTAAGGGGACAGCTTCTTAGTGCGAAACCAAGAGAGGAAGCAGAGTTCCGCGTGGCAGGGAGTCTCGGGATAGACCTGGGAGAGATGGAGGCGGAAAGGGGGCGTTTTTGGCCGCCAGAGCAGGCAGTGAGGCCGGGCTAGGGAGCTGGGGAGGAGGGATAAGGGGGGTGGGCATCCCAGAGGCAGGTTGTTCATGAGTTATCCCTTCTTTCCATCTCTCCCCTCCCTTCTTTTCTTCTTTAGTCATCGACTTCCCTCATTCATCGACTCACCCATTCATTCTAACATCCATCCTCCCATTCATTCATTCTACAAGTAACCTGAGTGCCTGCTTTGGTCCAGGCCCTGTGGGGTCCAGGCTTGGTCCCTAGGTGCTGTCTTCTGGGAGGCCCACAGAGCTGCCCTATCTGTCGGCAGAAACACCAGCCACACATGTCTACAGAGCACTTGAGGTGCGGCTCGTCTGAAGGGAGGTGTGTGGCAAGTGTAAAAATACACAGTTCATTTCAGTGACTTCGTATGAAGAAAAAAGAATGTAAACTATCTCATGAAGGAGTTTTATATTAGTAGAAAATACATCTAATTGAAACAATAGGTTAGGTATACAGTCAGTCCTCTGTACATGAGAGTTGCTCATCTGCAGATTCAACCTACTGAAATTATTCAGGAAAAAAAAAAAAAAATTCCACAAAGTTCCAAAACGCAAAACTTGAATTTGCCAGGCTGGCAACTACTTACATAACATCCACATTGTATTTACAACTATTTACATGGCATTTATATTGTATCAGGTATTATAAGTAAGCTAGAGATGATCTAAAGTCTATGGGAGGATGTGGGTAGGTTATATACAAATGCTATGCCGTCTTACATAAGGGATTTAGCACCTCCAGATTTTGGTGTTCGTGGGGATCCTGGAAGCAACCTCCCCACCACCATATCTAGGGATGACTGTGTTGTCTAACACAGTGTCAATATTAATTTCATCAGTTTCTCTTAACTTTTTGAACACTGGGTAGTAGAAAGAGTGAGATGACACCTGTGACTCAGATTAGGTTTTGATGGGATAATACTGCTACAGTGCACACCCCCTCCCCGCCCCTTCCGCACACAGGTTCTGAAAAGGCTGCCCTCTGGGTGGAGGAGGGCAGGCGGGTGAGGGCACATTTCGCCAAGCCCGATGACAAACTCAGAGACCCACCACCAGCAGACTCGCTAAACAAGGCTTGGTGGGATTAAGTCAACCGCCATCACGTATCCGGTTCCAGGACTTAAGAAAATGCGTGGGAAGATGCATCTGCCACTGAGAACCCCCAAATGGCGTTGGACTTATTACCATTTTTTCCACATACTCTACTGGCTTATGTGAGCCTGTGTAACACCTCTGACATGAGGGACACCATTTGGGGGCTAAAATTTCATCCCATTTTTTAAACAGGCACCAGATTTGAACTATTACACTGGGCAAGGGCATAGGACAGAGCCTGTCACTGCTATATCCGCATTCTTTTTTTTTTGGTGGGGGGTGCTGGGTGCTGGCGAAATGCGGGATCTTAGTTCCCAGCGCCCCCTGCATTGGGAGCACCCAGTCTTAACCACTGGACCGCCAGGGAAGCCCCAATATCCGCATTCTTGATTAAAAACTGGACACACTGCAAAAGGGATTTTCCTAGTATCTGACATAATATACTCTGAAAACCAATGAATTGCAATTGTAATTATATCTCCCAATCATAATATTGGGAAAACAACTTGTGCAAGCATCCTAAACCTTCCGCAATTTGCCAGTACCCGCCCCCGCCCCCGTCCCGGCTTTTTTCCCTGTGGCGGGACACAATGCAGGCTGCACCTGAATCTGTGCTCCCCGCATTGCAATTCTAAGGCACCACATAAATGCTTTTGTGTCTTTCGGCTGCGCCTCTCTTCTGGGTCAACACTTAGCTCCCGCCTGCGATGAGAGTGTCCTGGGGCCCATACCCGGTTTTGAAAGACGCCCCAGTCGGAGGAGTCAGGTGAGAAGTGCTTCAGTCTTTCCACCTGGTAGCAGAGGTAGGTGCAGTTCCGCCCACTGGCAAATCTCAGGTTGCGAAAGTGGAAGGAGAAGGTTTGGTGATCTAACCACTCCACTGGGTTTCTGCGGCAAAAGAGAGAAAAGGGGAAATGCAGAGAGCGCCCCCTGGAGTTACTCCCGGCTGGTGTCTCCAGAGCGTAGCCCCCTGGACGCCCTAGGCGCTGTGCCTCCCGGCAATCCGCCTGGGCCTTGAGAGTTTCCTGCGCCTTTCCAGGCAGGAAGGCTGGGGGAGAGGAGAGGGTGCTGGGACAGCGGGGATGGGTGATGTCTCCCACAGGGGCCCTGGCTCTGCTGCTTCCAGTAGCACATCCCGCCACCTCCACTCCGGTTTTCCTGCCCACCCATCCCCCAAATCATTAGAAAAATTTAAAAGAGTAACAAAAACCTCTCCACTCCAAAATAAGAGACTTTAACATTTCAGTTCAATTCCTTCCCGACTTTTCACTTGCGCATGTTTGTTTGTGTTGTTTCTTAATGTCGGATTAACACCTAAATTCACAGGCTTGGGCTATGGTTACAAGTGCTTTCTGTATCTGAACTCATCTACTCTCCAAGTGCTGCGGCAGCCATGCCCATTTTATTTTATTTTATTCATTTTATTTTATAGAGGAGGAAGCGGGGACGCAGAGGGGGACAAGTAGCCTGCCAAAGTCACAGAGCTGTAAGTGATAGAGCTGGGTCCCCTGACCAGGCCAGGCCATTTCCAGCTCTTCCATTATGTGACCTTGCAGCTGTGTGAAGTCTTGGGTGTGGCTTTCTTTTCTACTTAATTTTAAAATACGAGCGTTTCGCCTGATCTTTCCTCCAGTTCCATTATAGCTGTTAGTGGTACAGTTATACATGTGAAGCGTGGTCACCTAGGGTGTGGCCAGGTTTGTGAACAGTGTGCATTTATTTTCCTGCTCAGAGTTGAGATATCCTTGGAAGAGATGATTTATCTTCTTGCCTCAGAGAACTATTCTCACACTGTGTTTACAATGGTGTAAATACTATAGAAAACTGATCAGAGCGCTTTAAAAAAAGTCACCAGCTGCGTCAATCATCCTTTCGCCAAATTCTAAGCGTTAACAGAGCACAGATATTTCCGACCAATAGAGAGTGCAGCCCCGCACAGGCAGGGAGGGGACGGCCTAGCCCGACAGACTTTCAGACTGAGAGCTGGGCCACGAAGACCCTCAGAGCTGGGTGGAGGTTTGGGAGGGGCCGGTTCAGAAACAATAGTGGGGGCACCCCCAGAACAGGGCAAAGACCCCAGATGGGAGTGAGCCCTGCAGAGAAGGAGCCCAGAGAGGGAAAGGAACAAGGCTGGGACTGCAGGGACTGCGCGGGGAGAAGCAGGCCAAGGACAGAGGCACAGCCCTAGAGAGGGCTGGAGATGGGGCCCAGTGGGACAGAGCAGGCAGCAGCGGTACCTGATCCGGGGCCTCTGGCTGCAGCCTCCTTTGCTGGCTAGTCCCATCCCTGCCCTTTGTCTCGGGTGCTGGGGCTCCATTTCCTCTCCCAGGGCTCTTGTGTAGAAAACCCCCTTATCTGTGAGCGACCTCCCAGGCCGAGGCTCCACCTCCTTCCTGCTTTGGCACCAGGGGTGGGAGGGCCCTGGGGTGGTTTGCTTCCTTAGGCTCCAACCCACCTTCTCCTGGGCCCTCCCTCTTGGCAGAGGTCGGTCTCTGATGGAGCTGGACCCCTCTGTGCAGCAGGACCCGAGGTTATTGCAAAGGGAAAGAAAAAGTAAAGGGGGGGGGGGGGGGCTGGAGCCCTCTCCACCCCACCCCTGCACCCAGCCCAAATCTGCACCTGGCTCTACACTCGCCTGTTGAATGAATGGAGGCAATAAGAAAGTATGGACCTTGGATCAGGACTCCTTATTTTCTCCTGGCACAGCCAGAAGTGAGGGGACAGATGTGCTTTGAATTCCTACTTCTGTGCTTGGTCCTCGGCAAGAGTCCCCTCAGCCTTCGCGTGGCAGAGAGAGGGCATGCTTGCACGAAGGCTCTCTTTATAAGGACACTAATCCCCTCATGGGGGTCCCATCCTCATGACCTCATCTAAACCCAATCACCCAAAGGCCCCACCTCCAAATTCCATCACACTGGGGGTTAGGGCTGTAACAGAGTAGAACAAACCTGACTTCGTATTGAATCTATTCCTTTACCTCTAACCCTTGTGCTCTGTTGCCTGTGCTTAGTCATGCTGGCTCTGCACCTTTATAAAGGAATGTTGCCTAGAATCTCCCGTGGATTCAGGCTCTGGGTCCCACTCTTTAGAGCAGGGGTGGCAAATTATGGCCCCAGGCTAACCACCTGATCTTTTGTAAATAAAATTTTATTGGGACTCAAAAAAGAAAGGGGAAGTCAGGGAGTTCCCTGGTGATCTAATGATTAGGGTTCGGCACTTTCATTGCTGTGGCCCGGGTTCAATAACTGGTCAGGGAACTGAGATTCCCGCAAGCCTTGTGGTGTGGCCAAAAAAAAAAAAGGGAAGGGGAATCAATCAATAAATGTTACTTCAAACACACCACACACACACACACACACAAGAATGTTGCCTAGAGCCTGGAATATAGCTGATAGCCCATTCTCTAGCCTCTGACTTTAAAGGCACACTTTTCCATTCATATAGAGATAAAAAGTTGCAGAACAGGGGCTTCCCTGGTGGCGCAGTGGTTGAGAGTCCACCTGCCAATTCAGGAGATGCGGGTTCATGCCACGGTCCGGGAAGATCCCACATGCCGCGGAGCGGCTGGGCCCGTGAGTCATGGCCGCTGAGCCTGCGCGTCTGGAGCCTGTGCTCCACAATGGGAGAGGCCACAACAGTGAGAGGGAAAAAAAAAAAAAAAAGTTGCAGGACAGAAAATAACAATTATCTTGTTGGAGGTTTATGGGAACATTGTGACCAGACCTACTTGGACAGCTGCAAGAACAAAGGATTCCTGCAACGACCAGCCACACCCCCTCCCCTTTTATTTATTTATTTATTTATTTAACTTATGCTTAGTATTTAATGGTAATTTAAATGTAAGTGCAATAAAAAGTGAAAACCTGAAAGAAAAAAAGAAGTATTCCATTGTGTATATTTACATAATAACGTATGTTATCAATCACTTCAGGAACAGATTTAAGTTGTCATCACTCACATCCTTGAGCTAGATCCTAATCCTATATCTTTACATCCTAAGTCTTTGAGCACCTACTTCATTGTTTCTCTTTTGTTCTCAACGTCCTGTCTAGGGAATACTTTTTTTTTTTTTTTTTTTTTTTTTTGGGGACACGGCCCTTTGTGTCCTAAAAAATTTTTTTTTACCCCTTTTTTTTTTTTTTTTTTTCTAAAAGTTTTATATGTGAGATCTCAAGGGTTTCCTACATATAACATCACGTCCTCCACAAACAGAAACACCCATGTCCCCTGCATCGGCAGGCGGACTTTCAACCACTGCACCACCAGGGAAGCCCTAGGGAATTCTTTGAAACCCATACCCTTAACCACAGTATTAAGATCCTCCAATAAGCAGGGATTAGATGTGTAAGAGAATTTGGAGGGAAACACCTCTAAGGGAACAATGGCGAGGGAGCCAGAGCAAAGGGGAGAGCTGGTGATGGTAAAGGAGTGGGGAAGAAAGGAAGTTTCAATAGAAAGCATCTTGGAGTGCAATGCAGTTTAGAGCATTTTCTCTAGGTCAATGGGGAAACCTCAAGCCAAAGTAAACTGTAAGAGGAGTTTCGTGTCTCACAGCAACAGGCCTGCCATACTCCCCATCTCCGCAGTCAGTGGCTGGGAGCAGCCTGGAGGAAATGTGGTGGATTCATAACGCAGCAGTCCGGGCTGTCAGGATTATGCTTGGATATCTGAGATGCACGTTCTCATGGCTGCCACAAACACCATCTGTGCTGTACAAAAACTTGGTACTATTCATTCATTGATTCATGACACATCGAGGGCACAAATAGAGTACAATGCAGTGCTTACATCCTAGTAATTGGCCTCAGTTTGAGTGGATCATCACAAATAATTTTTTAGAAATTAGAAACAGAAATAGATTTCCAGACTCTTCAGGAAGATCTTCAAGGTATGGCTTCATTATCTTGTTTGAAATTATTTTTCAGGTTCTAAGGTAAATTCAAAGCTAAATACTAAATGGGGTTTGAGTTCTTCCTCACTGCATAGACCCAGTCCTGTATTCATATCACTTGATGCAGATAATCTGGGTGAGTTTTACATAATAAAGTCTAGAACCTGAAACAATAACTGCCATTTCTAAAAACTGTTTGAGAGTGAGAACACCCCCTCCCCGTTTAGTATTAGAGAAGCCTGAATTCTAACTTGGGTAAGATGGTTCTTTGGGACACTAGTCCACCATCTTCTCGGTCTGCTGGCTTTCGAAATAAAGTCACTATTCTTTGCCCCAACACCTCATCTCTCAATTTATTGGCATGTCCTGTGGCGAACAGTACAAGTTTGGACTCGGTAACAGGGCTTCAACATACAAATTTGCACACAAATGTTCATTGTGCACAAGTGGCACAGACCTTTAGCCCATAGCAGGCTGTGACCAACAGGATTCCTTTGGTTGCCTCCTGGACAATGATGATTTATCACTGCTCTCAGTAGTGTAGGTGATGCCTTACACCCAGAGCTGAAACTCTGGTGCATATGCCTTTCCAGAAGTTGTGTTCACTGCTACCTCACGGGAGGCCCGGAATGTGGGTAATTTTAGCTGGGCTGTTGCTGCCCTTAGCAGGGTCTAGATCTCCTAGTGGAAATAAAATGACATACTTGGCACTCACTGCCAAATTGCTTTCTAAAGCTCTTGTGCAAACAGACACCTCCAGGAGAAATAAAAAGTGTTACCATTTCCCATATCTTCACCAATACTGGTATTATGAGACCTCTCATTTCCCAACCTTCTGGAATGTGAAAAGCTATCTCATTGAGGTTTTGTTTTATACTTTCCTGATTTCTAGTGAGACCAAGTGTCTTTTCTTTCTTTTCTTTTTTTTTTAAAAATATATTTATTTATTTACTTATTTGGCTGCACTGGGTCTTAGTTGCGGCACATGGGATCTTCGCTGCTGCGTGCAGGATCTTCGCTGTGGCATGCGGGATCTTTTAGTTGCAGCATGCGGGCTCTTAGTTGTGGCATGCATGTGGGATCTAGTTCCCTGACCAGGGATCAAACCCGGGCCCCCTGCATTGGGAGCTCGCAGTCTTAACCACTGGACCACCAGGGAGGTCCCCCAAGTGTCTTTTCATATTTTTCTGTCCCTTCCATTTTCTTCTTTTACAGAATTGTTGGCTGCATCCTTTGTATATTTTTCTAGTAGGAAGTTTGTCTTTCCTTATTGCTTTATAAGAATTTTTTGATATATTTGATATATATTTTGATATATAAGATATTTTGATATTTGATATAGTAATCCTTTGTCAGTTATATACATCTCAAATACTCTCTTCCAATATGTGATTAGGCTCTTAGTTTATGAAGTCTTTCCATGTGTAGATGTTTTAATTTTTAATGTTTTCAAATGTAACCATTTTTCATGTATTTGTTTGATATAACATAGATAATTAATTTTTAATTTTGTATATGGAAAGCCAATATAAGAACAATTTAATGAATATCTATCCATGTCCTCCTGTCCTATGTGTAATGATGCAAACTTGTTTAATGTGTGTGTGTGTGTGTGTGTGTGTGTGTGTGTAAAGGCTGTCTCTGAATTCTCTCATCTGCTCCATTGTCTAAGCCTGTGCGACTACCATATTGTTCTCCTTATGTCTTTCTAGTACTCTTAATATCTGATATGGAGATCCATCTTGCCTTCTTATTCTTTGAAATTGTATTGACCCCTTATAGATCCATATGAATTTATGGACAAAACTTTTCATGTTCCATGAAAAATCCCAATATCAATGGGGAAGGATAGACATATTTGTGGCATTGAATCTTTCCATCCATTAACATGGTATGTACCTCAACTTATACAGGTCTTCTTTGATGTTTTCCATAAGTCTTACACTTTTTCATAAAGATCTCACACATTTTGTCAAGTTTATTTCTAGTAAACTTTTTTGGCGATATTGTAGACTTCATCTACCTTTATACTTTTGTTTGTTGCCAGTATCTGGGAACACGATTAATTTTTCTAAATTGAGCTTGGATCTAACCCAACCTTGCTAAGAACTTGCTTACTATTTCTAGCAGTTTCTGGTCTTTCCCAATCACTGAAGCTCTTATTTCTAATTGTGGTCCTGGGACACTGGCTTGGACCACAGTACAGCACTGAGCAGCCGCAGTCATAAGGGGCATCCTGTGTCCTTCTAGTTTAAAGAAAATTCTTTTTTTTTTTTTGGCTGCTGCCATGCGGCATGTGGGCTCCTTAGTTCTCTGACCAGGGATCAAACCCACGCACCCTGCAGTGGAAACGTGGAGTCTTAATCACTGGACCACCAGGGAAGTCCCAAGAAAATTCTTCTAAGACAGGGAAATAAAAATTACAAGTCCTGTATTCTTTAAGTCTTCCTTGGCCTGAATATTTGTTTGCTAACTGTTTAATTATGATTTTTTGCATCTATGTTTATAAATAAATATGGCTATAATTTTTCTTTCTCATGTTCTTTGTATTCAGTTTTAAAATCAAGATTATTGTGGACCCCGGAAGTGCCGGCGCTGTGGGAGCTGTCACTGCGGACCACGGCGGCGGCGGCGGCGGTGGCAGTACAGCGCTGGCAGTGGAGCCGCCGGGGAGGGTCAATGCAGCACAATGCCAGCTCTGCCCCTGGACCAACTCCAAATCACCCACAAGGACCTGAATACAGGGAAGCTGAGGACTTCACCAGCGCTGACCTGGAAGTGGGTGGATTGTGGTTGACAACAGCTGAGATGCAGCCCGGCCTTCTTGCTGTTATCACAACCACCACCCCCACCACCCCCGGAGAAAGCAGCCCTTATGTAGTCAGAGAAGAAAACTGAGCTCATCTTCTCTTCTTGGTGAACAAACACCCTGAATAGAAGGCAGACCGGTATTTTGCGTTATACAAACCACCCCCTAAAGATAACATTCCCACCCTAGTGGAGGAGTACTTGGAACGCACCACCTTCGTAGCCGGTGACCTCGCCTGGCTCCTGGCCCTGCCTCACGATAAATTCTGGTGCCGGGTTGTCTTCGACGAGACCCTGCAGAAGTGCCTGGACTCCTACCTGCACTGTGTCCCCCGAAAGTTTGGAAAAGGCAACTCCCCGCTGCTGCAGAAGATGATAGGAAACATCTTTATCCAACAGCCAAGTTAACTATAATGACCTGGATGGAAGCATGCCCACCACCCTTCAGGTCTTCAGCAATATCCTCCAGCACTGTGCTTTGCAAGGGGACGGGGCCTGCGCCACACCCCAGAAGCTTGAGGAGAGGGGCCGGCTGACCCCCAGCGACGTGCCTCTCCTGGAATTAAAGGACATCGTTCTCTACCTTTGTGATACCTGCACCACACTCTGGGCCTTTCCGGATATCTTCCCTTTGGCTTGCCCAACCTTCCAGAAACACGACTTCTGTTACAGGCTAGCTTCCTTTTACAAAATAGCAATTCCCGAACTGGAGTCTGCGATTAAGAAGAGGAGGCTTGATGATAGCAAGCTGCTAGGTGACCTGTGGCAGAGGCTCTGTCATTCCAGGAAGGAGCTACTGGAGATTTTTCACATCCTCCTGAAGCAGATCTGCCTTCTCGCAGTCCTAGACAGCAGCTGTGACAACATTCAGGGCTTCACTGAAGAGCTCCTTCAGGTCTCCAGCTCCTTGCTGCAGGAGGTTTCTCTGAGACTACGATGCGATGCGCTCTTCCCTGTGGCCGATGACGTCAGCCTGTTGCAGCAGGCCTCAGCCTTGGATGAGACTCGGACCGCCTACATCCTCCAGGCAGTCGAGAGTGCATGGGAAGGGGTGGACCGAAGGAAAGCCACCGATGCCAAAGACCCACCGGGGCTGAGAATCCTAACGGGGTCGTGGAGGCGGCGGAGGCAGTCAGCAGACCGTCATCGCTTCCCCAGAACTCGGAGGAAGAGAAGTGCCTGGGGGCAGCGGCTGCTCCAGGCCCCGCCACGTGCGGCGTGGAGCTGGACTCACTCATCTCCCAGGTGAAGGACCTGCTGCCAGACCTCGGCGAGGGCTTCATGCTGGCCTGCCTGGAGCACTACAGCTATGACCGGGCGCAGGTGATCAACAACATCCTGGAGGGGCGGCTGGCCCCTGCCCTCGGCCAGCTGGACCGCGGCCTAGACAGACAGGTGAAGCCAGACCCGACGCCCCTGCTGACGTCTCCTCACAACATCTCCCAGAATGTTGAGTTGGACATGT